CCCCAACTTGAAACTATACTACAAAGCTACTGTAATAAAAACAGCATGGTACTGGCAAAGAAACAGACCTGAAAACCAGTGGAACAGATTAGAAGACACAGAAACGTTCCAGACACACTCAGCCACCTCATCTTCAACAAAGGAGCCAAGCACCCTCACTGGAGGAAATACAGCCTCTTTAATAAATAGTGCTGGAAAAACTGGGTTTCAACTTGCCAAAGATTAAAACTAAAACTATATCTCTCACCATGCACTAAATTAAAATTGAAATGGATTTAAGATCTAAATATTAAAATTGAAATGCTGAACTGGCTGGAACAGAGGTTAGGTAAAACTCTTGAAGACATTGGTGTAGGAAAAGATTTTATGAACAAAACCTCATTTGCCTGTGAACTAGCACAAATTATCAACAAGTGGGATCTCTTCTTATTAAAAAGCTTCTGCACAGCAAGACAAACCACCAACAGTGTGAAGAGACAACACACAATGTGGGCAAAAATTTTCACCTGTTGTTTCTCAGATAAAGGTCTACTATCTGGAATCTATAAAGAACTTAAAAAAATCAGACCTTCCAAATTTAAAGTTCCAATCCAAAAATGGGCATCTGAAATGAACAGACACTTCTCAGACAAAGAAGTAGAAATAGCAAATAAACATATGAAAAAATGTTCCACATCACTGGTCATTTGAGAGAAGCAAATGAAAACAACACTGAGATTCCACCTCACCCCAGAAAGAATGGCTGCTATCATGAAATCAACCAATAGCAAATACTGGCGGGGCTGTGGGGGAGGAGGAATCCTGCTCCACTTCTGGTAGAAGTGTAGACTGGTGCAACCACTGTGGAAATCTGTATGGAGATACCTCAAAGAACTAGGATTGGAAGTCCCATTTGACCCAGCTATTCCCCTGCTGAGTACCTTCCCCAAAGAATTAAAAGAATCATACCACAGTGATATATGTGCACCTATGTTCATAGCAGCACAATTTGTAATGGCTAAAACTTGGAAACAGCCCAATTGCCCATCAACTGGAGACTGGATAAAGAAAATGTGTTTTTTTAATAAGATGGAGTAATACTCATCCATAAAATATCAGAAATTAGAGACATTTATAGCTACATGCATGCACATTGAGGCAATACTCAAGGGAAAAAATAGAGCACACGTGTAAAAATACTGAATGGTTTCTCTAGAGTGAGAAACTGAAAGTGTAAATGAGGACTAAGAGGTACAATAGATAAAGTGAAATAGGAAGAAAAGGGGAAAGGGGAAAGGGAAGTGGGAGGGGTAGGGGAAGGGAAAGAAGGGAATGGAATTAATACGAGAAAATGAAAAAATGGAAACAAAGTCTTTGTAAATAGGGAGGGATGGAGGGGTTGAAGGGAGGGCTGGGGAATGATGAAAAAATAAGAACCAAGAGAAATGGTGTAAAGGTGCAAATTTCCAATGATGAATGTCATTATATTGTATACCTTAAATGTACCAATAAAATTCACTTTTTAAAAAAGTTTGCTTTTCTGTTGGATTTTTTTTTTTTTATCATGCTTTGTAAAGACAAGGAAGAGAATTTCTAACAGCGCTTCAGGAAGTGGTGGGAACAATGGGATGTGGGTATTTTGAGGAGGACTAACGGCAATGTGTCTTTTACTGTAATCATTTTTTAAAAAATTTAAACACTCACCAGAGTTTTTGCCATCCTTCATCCTCTCTCACAAGGCTGGACAGTGGCAGCAAGCTGCAGCTCCTACTTAGCTATGCAATCATGAGGGTAGCAAACTCTGCTTGACACCCTACTGTGTTGCTGAGGCATAATATTTGGCAGGTTAGGTTTATTAAATGCATTTTTTGACTCCCAATATTTTCAATTTATGATGGCTTCATGGTGATGTAACCCAACTGTTATTACAGGAGCAATTTATATAGAAAATAGAGTCAATATATGTGCAGAGGGAGAAATGAGGAAATCAAAGTTTTAAACTCAAAGAGACTTCAGCTTGGATGACTAATTTGGAGTAAAATACCACTGAGTTTCTAGGGAGCCAAAATTTGCTGAGCACTTACTCTGTACCAAGCTGTGTTCTAAGGTCTTCATATACATAGTCTCCATTCATCCTCAAACAAAGGTTCTCTGAAGGGAACTATATTTAGCTTAATTGTGCAGCTTGGCTGAAGAAATCTGCGAGAATTGGCACTCAGTCCTTTATGACATGACGCCCTCTCGTCTGGTTTCCCACTTGCTGGATTTGAGGTGCCAGCAGGGCACTCTATATAGGTGCAACTATTGAGCACATTATACAAATAATATCCCCAGTTTAAACTGTTTTTATGCAATAGAAATTTATATTGTTCTTGTTTCTGTCCAGATACTGTCCTAAAACTTTACAAATGCCAGCTCATTTAATCCTATAATATGATCACGCCACTTTAAACACATACTTAATATAATCATTATAGCTATCATTTATGAAACATAATGATAAGCCATACACCAGACTAGACATTTTTGTAACTTAATACAATCACAAAAGGAAAATATAATTATCTTTATTTTAAAGACCAGGAAAGGAAGGCTTGGTAGTTTGTGTAATTTGATTATCATTGCCTGGCTTTATTTTTATAAATTTTATCAATATGAGTTTCCATTATGATTAAAAACTGTTTTGTTTTACAGGTCAGAAATTAAAATTTAGTAATTTAAGTGAATTGAGTCCCTCCAGCCAGGATTGAACTTCAATATTTGGTTCGGAATCTCAAACATTTCTCAATATTCCTATCCTTTTCTAATAGTGTCACACTGGGCCTTTACTTTCAAGCATTTTCATGTTGAATTGTATAGTATATCTTACTAAAAAACTCATATGTTGAAGTCCTAAACTCTAATACTTCAGATGGTGAATGGTGACCATATTTGGAGACTGGGCTTTTAACGAGTAGTGTAAGGTAAAATGAAATTATATGGGTAGCTCCTATTATAATGGATTAGTGTTCTTTCATCTATGTTTGTATTTATTTTTTGATCATGCCTTCACTTTGAGGTAAATCCTCAGTCCATTTTAAATTTTCTTTTTAATTTTGAGATAGTATTTAACTAAATCACTAAGTTACCCAGGCTAGGTTTGAACTTATGGTCCTCCTGCCTGAGCTTCCCAGAGTGCTTGGATTACCAGCACATGTCAGCACACCCAGGTAAATCTTCTATTCTCCTAAAAGCACCAGGCAAAGTGGCACATGCCTGTACTCCAGCACTCTGGGTGGCCAAGGCAAGGTGGCTCACCAATTCAGGCCCAATCTAGCAAGTAGAGAGACCCTGTTTCAAAATAAAAAATAAAAAATAGTCTGAGTATGTAGCTCAATGTGAAGGTCCTGGGCTTAATCCCTAGCACTGTACTACCAAACAATTTGCAAAACAACAACAACAATAACAACAACAAAAAGCAGAAGAAAGAAAAAGAGGGATGGGGGAAGGGTGGGAAGGGGAGAGAGAGAGAGAGAG